TACTAAAATCAAAATATGTCTGCTGCTTTCCCCCGTCCCCTAAGCCAGTAACCCTGGCAAAGAATCAAATTAGGTTGGTTTGGCATGATTAGTTGGGTGTTCCTTAACCCTAATATCCCTCTAGCTGCTTCTAGCTGATTGCTTAACTTGTTCCAGCATCGTTGAGTATCAAAGTTAGGCTGACTGGTCTTTAATTTCCCAGGTCCTCTTTGTTCCCCTTTTTTAAAGATAGTCTTATGTTTGCCCTTCTCCATCTCTGTGGGAACCTCACTTACCCTCATGAGTTCTTGGAGATAATTGCTAATGGTGCTGAGATTGCTTCAGCTGGTTCCTTAAAATTCATCCTAAGGTACTTATCAGGCCCTACCAACTTGACTGTATTTAACTTATCTAAATATTGGTGTGACATTCCCCTGGTGTTATCTGGACCATTGATCTGCTAGGCCACTTTAATCCTCGATTCTGGGAGCCAGCCTTACCCTGCTCTGCTATGAGAACCCCCACCCCCACGCTGTTCACACACAGCCTCTAGCATTTAAGCTGCTCCCAGCTACATGAGTGAGCACTTTTGGCTAGCCGCTGCTTGGATTGTACAACCAAATGACATTAGCCAATATCTCTGGTCCCAGACACAACCCTAGGAACATCTGTCTTGCAGTGTCCAGTTAAGCCTGCTGGACACTGCAAGCTTATGTGTTTGTCAATTTAACAAAGAAATTGATATGTACCAGGCTTGTTATCCCAAGGGGAGTCTCTGACACACTTCAACCAAGCGCACTAAATAAACAAACAAATTAACTACAAAAGATAGATTTTAAGTGATTAGAAGTCAAAACATAAGTCAGATTTGGTCAAATGAAATAAAAGCAAAACGCATTCTAAGCTGATCTTAACACTTTCAGTGCCCTTACAAACTTAGATGCTTCTCACCACAAGCTGGTTGGTTGCCCTTCAGCCAGGCTCTCCCCTTTGATCAGCGCTTCAGTTGCTTGGTGATGTCTGTAGACTGAGGTAGAAAAAAGAGAGAGCATGGCAAACATTTCTCCCTTTTATAATGTTTCTTCCCTCTTGGCTTTGCCTCCCCTCTTCTCCCCCTTCCCCCCCCCCCCCGTCACTTCAGTCAGGTGAGCATTATCTCATAGTCCCAAACTGACCAAGAGAAGGGGGGGGTGACTCACTCAAGAGTCCAACAGATCCTTTGTTGCCTAGGCCAGTGTCCTTTGTTCCTGTGAGGCTGCACTGGGTTTGTCCAATACATGCCCTGATGAGGTGTGAACTGCCCCTCTGCTCCTGGAGGGATTTGCCTATACCTCTGCTCCTGGACAGTCCTGGACTGGGCTTGTTTTAAGCCATGAGGACACCATTTCAGCCTCATAAATATATACAGTAACTCCTCACTTAAAGTCGTCCTGGTTAACGTTGTTTTGTTACATTGTTGATCAGTTAGGGAACATGCTCGTTTAAAGTTTTGCAATGCTCCCTTATGTCATTTGGCAGCTGCCTGTTTTTGTCCACTGCTTGCAGGAAGAGCAACCCGTTGCAGCTAGCTGGTGGGGGGCTTGGAACCAGGGTGAACCAGCAGCCCCCCATCAGCTCCTCGTTCTCCTAAGTTCCCTGTGCTGCAGATGCCCAGCAGGCTACCAATTGCCAGCAGTTCAGCTGTCCCTCCCCCCACTGCCATGTGCTGCTCCTGTCCTCTGCCCCAGAGCCTCCTGCTTGCTATCTTGCTGGGGGGGGGCTGGCTAATGTCAGGGTGTCCCCCTCCCCCATGCTCCTGCACCCCACTTACCCCATCTTCCATAGAGCAGGGGAAACACACGACAGGGCTCAGGACGGAGGGAGCTTCCTGGCAGCAGCTGCCGGCTCAGCTTGCTGAGCAACTTAGAAAGGCAGTTTACTTAGTGGGGTCAGCATACTTAAAGGAAGGAGCAATGCGCATCTCTCTCACACACAGGGTGTCTCTGCCATGCTGTCTCCTCTCCCTCCATTCGTGCTGCCTTGTAGAGTGTGAGGCTACATTAACAACAATGAGTTAACCCTCGAGGGCTCAGCCAATTGCTAGTTCATCATTTAGCAGTAAGGCATCCCCTGGGAAATATCCCACCTCAAACAAGCTTCACAACCATTATCGCTGTGTACCGAATTTGTGTGTGTGTGTGTGTGTGTGTGTGAGATTTCCCTGGAACCTCCCCCCCCCCCCCATTTGCATTAATTCTTATGGGGAAATTGGATTAGCTTAACATGGTTTCGCTTAGTCGCATTTTTCAGCAACATAATTACAACGTTAAGCAAGGAGTTACTGTACATGTTACAACTGATAACAATGCTGAGTGCATCATGAGCCTTCCAAAGACACCCGGCATGACAAACTGCATTGGATACCACACCTTCATTTTATAAGGATGAACATGGGGGAGGTGCAGGGTGTTCCCCAAGGTATAGTGTCACAATTGTTTAACCTGTTCTTTCCCTATTTTGGCTTGCATTCCTTCCCCCTGGTAGTTAATATTAACTATGCCTAGGGTGGAGGAGTATGCTATGGGACTGAAAACATTGATGTATATCTCATGAATTAGTGTAAGTCCATATCACTAGATAAGCATTAAGTCGACCATAATGTAGACAACTAACGTGAATAAAATATTTCATAAACTCCTGTATTCTCCACCACCTCTTTTGGTACTTAAAACATAAGAAGACTTAGTTGAGAAGTGTGTGTGTGTGTGTGTGTGTGTGTGTGTAATGAAAACTTCAAACTATTAATTTTTTTTTTTAAATCATGCAGATACTAGACTTCAGTACCAGGTTGAACCACAACTCCTACAGCTACTGAGGACATTCTGCAACAAAAAATAAATTCGACAAATTTTATTTGTCAGAATAACATTACATAATCACACTAGTTTCAATTATTTTGGTAATTTATTTCAAAATGCCAGTCAGCAAGTATGTTGGTAACAATACAGATAAACAAAATTCCCCCAGAAATAGTGTTAAAGAAACCCCTCTGAAAACCCAGTTCCTCTGCCCTCTCCTCCCCTAGAGGCCAGCTGGGGGGTCAGACACCCACAACTCTCCTCCCTCCCTGCCCCCAAGCCAATACACCCAAACTCAGTCACAGGGCCCCCCCAGCCCAGGTACTCATGTTCACTTGCCCCCTCCACACACCAGAGCCCAGAGGGAGAAACAGCCTGATAGTTGGTCCCAGGCTTGCACAGAGTTTCCTTTGCACCACCGTTTCTTTCCCTCAGGGCGTGCTGGGAACTGCAGCTGCCAGGAACCCTCTAGCCCCCTCCCCCAAGCAGTCTCTTCTCTGTGAGAGATCTGGGCTCTGTTGAATCCAGTGGCCACTAGTGGCAGCCAGCAGCACTGCAGCCTATTACTGTGGGGGAAAGGAAATTTAAATTTCTGCAGAATTCTGCATTGTGCAGTGGTGCAGAATTCCCCCGGCAGTAAGCTACTGATATCTGCTTAATGAGAAACATAGCCCCCTAACAATGGCCTTCCACAGAGTTGCTGTAAGATGTTCTAAACTTCAAACTAGTGCAGTATAAGGGTTTGTCATTTAACACTTGCAGGCATAGCGAGGGGTGGCTGTTTTTTTTTATTTGTACTACTTATTTGTATTTTGTTTTTAGTGTCTCTTCCTCTAATGGAGTTAAGATTTAGGCTACCACTGGTTATAACACTCATGGAGTGGCTTTATCTAGTACTGACCACAGACGTATAGAGATGATGCAGTCATCCTGATATCTGAGTGTGACACTTTTGTGTGTGGATGCTTACAGTAAAAATCAATGAAGTTAACAGGGCACTTTGCCATAGTAAAGGTTATTCTTTAAAGTAAAGGGCTATGTTGTAGTCATCACAAGCACCACAGTGTGGGAATTCTTGACAAATGCTATCTTACTTATCTCTAATATCTTGATCAACATGGCTACAACAGCACTGCATGTGACTCATTCTGATTTCTGTACATGCTGTTAACGGTGGTTATTTATTGGCCAAGTTTGCAAGGCCTTATAGTCACTTCAAAACCTTTCTCTCTTTGGATAATGTAACACTAACTTTTGAACACCATATCCAGTCAATCCCAGAACTTCAGGGAGTGTTCAAGGCATTAGAGGGCAGAATGTTGTTTTTGGTGATAATTGGAAAACTGAAAGGAAGAAATTGGGTGTCGGGGGGAGACAACACATTTACCCTCTAGCATCTGGTTAGCAGAGCTAGCAGCTTCAGCTGCCCATTTAATTGTCTGTAGATCAAATAACCAGTTGATGGTGTCCATTAATGCATTCCAGGATAACAGTACCCTTCACTTTAGGTCTGCCCATTTCCTCAGTACATTTGAGAAATGTTGACATCCTGAAAGACCAAAGAAAGGAGAAAAAGAATGATTGGGGCAGGAAGAGTGGCAGGCATGTGGGATTGGAGATGCATGTAGAACCCCTGGTGGGGGTAGAATGGGGATCCTGGTGGGAGACCCACAGATCCTCTGGCATGGATGGGGGGAATGAGGGGCACACAACCCCTGGCATGTGGGGAATGATCAATTCTGGTATGAGGGGGCATCCTGGCCTTGGCATGAAGGAGGGTTGCATTGGGTCCCTAAAATAAAGGGGAATGGGAGGATGGCACATGGAGTTTGTGGTGGAGAATAGAGGGATACAAGGAACCCTTTGTGTGTGCAATAAGCTTGGCCTAAAAAAGCAACAAAGTGTATGAACCCCCTCCCTCTCCCCTGTCTTATTTAGTCTGATTTTAAAGCACATCTATAGACACCCATCCCGTGCTCTTGACATCTATCCCATAAAATAAAAATGACCATGAACTTGGTGTCTGTATCAAGAGTCTTAATATTGCTGTGATAAGTTCCTTAAGGTTTTTCCTTTCACTTTGAATGATGTTCAAATTATGCTGGATGTGCATGATGCAAAAGATCTAGTAGTATCTACTGAGTGGAGCATTAAAATAAGTAATCAATTGTTTCTTATTTGCAGGAGCAAGATGTTGAGACTCTGCATGGCTCTGTCCATGTTACTATGTATGGGACTCCCAAAGGAAACAGGCCTGCCATCCTAACATACCATGATATTGGACTGAATCGTAAGTGTGATCTTTCATACAACAGCACAGTGATGGCCAGCTGTAACAGCTGATCACGTTGTGGTTCTTTAACTTACAACCTGCCATGATCCTTGCAGCACATAATTTTCAGGGGTAAAATTAGGATCCTGGTGTGGGAGCTTGCCAGTAAATTGTTGCACAGTGCAGGTCGATCCAGATTGGCCTTTGCTGCATCCCAGACTTTGCTGTGAGCCATTATATGCAACAAACCAACATGGAGGTACAGATGAACAAGGGGCCCAGATTTTGTTCCCGGTAGAAATGGGCTAGCTGGCAGTCAGGAGGAGGGACTTGAGGCTGAATGCAGGCAAATATGAGTAGAAAGTGGTGCCCTTTGACAGGCTTTCTACTAAGTGTTGGCTTGTGTGGAGCCACTCTTTCCTCTCATAGACATGACTTTCTTAATACCCTGATTTAAGGGACAAAATGGCTTGAGTTCTAACAGGATTTTTCCCTCTGTATAAATCCTTGTACCTATAAATAAAATCTTTCTAGATGAAAGGAGAAGGACCTCTGGGTCAAAAATAGCCTATATTTGGGGACCTTCCAAGCACCATGCAGCAACATGTGCTTGATAGGGATTTTGGAGCAGGAAAAGGGTATGCGTCACAAAATGACACGGGTGGAAAGAAGCTTGTGGAAGATTCCTTTTTGAATAATTGTCCTAATACTGCTGAGGGTTTTTATGTATTTAGCTATGTATGTGTCAGGATGTCTAGAACTTTGTATAGATTCAAACTAGAATAAATCAGTGGATGATGAAATGGTGTCAGCACAAAGTGTGACGTTTCTCTTCAGTGCTGCATGGTTTAATCTTGTATAGATGCAATCCAATAAAATGCCAGTTAGATTTTGACTTTTTTGTCTAATACCAAATATGTTTTGGCCACTGTCACTCCACAAGACTTGGCATTTCTTTACTCAGTTATTAATGTTTACTATTGGACACTACCACATTTAGGATTAGGGGTCCATTGTGCTGCGTGTAAACACAAAGTCATGGTCCCTGCTCCAAAGAGTTTACTTTTCCATCAGTAAGCCTATTGTAACTCATTTCTTCATGGTGGCTTGATAGAAGCATCCCTATATTTCATTTCCTATTTTCCGTGGATTAGGGACAGGTGGCCTCTGGGCCTTAACAATTGTTGAGATTGTAAGACTTCTATCTAGGAAGGAAGAAAAACCTGTCTTTATGCTATGTAAAGTTTTATTGCTCATCACATTTTATACTAAAACTACTCAATTCTTATTTTACATGTGATGTTAAAGGAGTTGATATTTAAACATTTTTATGCTAACTTTGCTGTTACTTACCTTGCATTTTAACAAGGGAAGGGTTTAAAAAAAATACTTTATCCATTTGTGGTGCATTGCCTAACTTCTGAATTTCTTTTCATGTTGAACAGTATAAATAGGTTATTTCTGTCTGGGTCTCACCCTAGTGCAATACAGCTGGCATTAGGTTTTAAGTTCAGGAGGAAAGAATAAGCCTTAAACAGGCTTCCGCTGAAACCTTAATGTGAGAAGTTCATATTTCTAAAGAAGCCTAAATTTTAGGCCTAATCTGTTTGATAGCATTCCTGTAAAAAATTTTCATCTTAATGTATTCTGCTTGTAGCTACCATAGGAAATCTCAGACTAGCTTGGTGTAACTTGCAGTCCTTGGACATAAGGACAAGAGAATACTGCAAAAAAGATGATTGACTTTGGATTCTACTTTGGATTTGCTTCCCCCCCCCCCACACACACACTTTTATTATAACCCTAAGAAAGATGAGTAAAGTGAAGTAAAATGGAAGTTGTTTTAAAAGCCAAATCCTGGGATAAACACTTCTGCCCCACCTGACTTCTAGTTTAACTTTCATGTCAGGAATTTTCTTGAGACTTTGGTCTGCCACAAATTTTGACCACGAGTGCCAGAATTTAATCACTTACATGAAAAAATTTCTTGGGAAACTGTTCAGTTTTCTGCCTCACGGTGTTAAATGGTGTTAACTTGCTTTATTAGTTTATCTTTGGAGCAGGATTTTGTTAATCCCCTTTCTAACAATAATTGGCAACAAAGTTGAGCAGGTTGAACCATACTGCAAATTACTGAAAAATTAAATCTGCAGAGAAACTTAAAGAAACTCAGACTAAAATACTCATACAAACTCTCAAATTGCAGTTTCTTGTGATATCTGGATTAAAACTGTATAAGCCATTCAGTCTTTCATCTTAATGACTATTACGTTCTTCCCCCCTCTGTTTCTTGAAGACAAAACTTGCTTCAACCCCCTCTTCAACTTTGAAGATATGCAGGAAATAACACAACACTTCGCAGTCTGTCATGTGGATGCACCGGGGCAACAAGATGGAGCAGCATCTTTCCCAGCTGGGTGAGTTGGAGCTGGGGAAAGATCTTGATGCTTGCAGGGTTGGCTTGTTAACTGGTCAGAAAAGAATATTCTTGATCTGCAGTTTTAATTTAGAAAACTTTTCTGGAAACTTCTGTATGTTCTGAACTGGTATCTGTAGAGAATCTCCACTTAAATCAGTGGTGTGATAGAGATCAGAATCTGGGTCTGCAAATTCACACTTCAATATGTTATTTCTTAAATGACTCTGGTCCCAGAGTGGTTCTCAAAGCAATCTGTGCTTTGGTCAGTTTAAATTATGAATCAACTAATTTAATCTCGAAAGAATGTTTTCCAGCTCTTTTATTCCTACTATTGCGGTGGATCTGTATCTTGTTCCCTCATAGCTGTATCTTTCCAAACTACAAACATAAAATGAAATCAGAATAAAAACATTATAGGTATTATCTCCATTTTTGTGGTATCTTTAGACCGTGTTAAATTACTTTTAAAAAAAGAGGTAAAACAGAATTGATAAACTAAAATGCTAGTGCTACTTGGAAAATTCAATTTGCTGAATATTAACAAAAATAGTTCCTTAATAGGATGCCTTATATATCTTAAGCTGTTAACTCCTGAGCATTGTTTTGTAACCCTGCTGAAAATCCTTTGTCCTGTTCAGTGTGAATTTTTGTACTAGTAAAGCCTGCCAACGTGTAAAAGGATTATCTTGGCCAAAGTGTGTGTCTGATGTTTTAGCCAAATAAGATTGGATTGCCCTAAGTTAAGATGTATTTTGGATAATACTCAACATGATATAGAAGGAATTGCCAACAGGCAAAGGGAAATGGGCAAAGAAAATAAGAGTTGTACTGTGTAAGAGCTAGGTATAGTAGTACTAATGAATTAGCTTACTTTTACCCATGTTATGTGAGTTGGGCTAGATCGCTTATTTTTAAGCTGGTATGGCAGTGAGAAGTCTCGCTGGAAAAGATTGTGGGCCAGATTCTCAGATGGCTTAAATTGACATAGCTTCACTTACATCAGTGGAGCTACACAGATTTTACAACAGCTGATAATCTGACCTTATGTGAATTCAGTGTACTTCTTGGTGCAAGAGCTTTGTCTCTCATCTACTCAAACTTGTAGATTTTGTGCTTCTAAGCAACCTAACCGCTAACGTTGCCCAACATCTCCTATAATAGACTTAATTTAAAAAACAAAAAAACAAAAAACCACAACCTAGGAGTTAGAGGCTTCATAGACAAAGGCCTAGTCTAAGCTAGATAGTTCATACCAGTTTGAGCAAAATCAGGTATACTGGCAGAAAGCAACTATAGGACAACTATATCTACACTGGGGCTTTTGCCAGTATAGAAATGCGGTCCCACAAAAAATCACACCCCTAGCTGACATTGCTGAAAAGACTACATGTACCACAGCCAACACTGTTGTTGCTTTCACTAGTTAGGAGAAACATGCAATTTGTACATGTTGTGGAATATCTTCTCTTTGGTGCTTGCTGTCGTTTTGAGTGGCCTGTCAGGAATGTCACTTCAGTCTCTGGCAGGGCCACTGGATTAGATTCTTCCCCTGTGCCAGTTTGTCTTCTGTACATATGTTCTTTAAACCAGGTTGGTAGAAATAGTTGAAAACACTATTTGTGTGTCTCGGTTTTTTTTTTTAAACACTTTTTTTCTAGCCCAAAGTGGGTAGAGATAGCAGTGTGGTGTCAATTCAGATATTTCTTGTTGGTGGAGTGGGTGGCAAATTCTAGCCCCTGCCTCCCTGTCAGGGACCCTATTCTAGTCCCTACTCATCCCTCCTCCCCAATCTTCCTGCAGAGACCCCTGTCTCTGTCGACCAGGAAGTCTCCCCTTTTTTACTCTCAGTGCGTGAGCCAGTGCCACCAGGAGTTGAGTTCTTTGTGGACTCCCCTGTATGCTGTCGTAGAGGAACACTTTGTATGCCAGGTCGCAACAGCATTTGGCCCAGCTTCCCCTTTATCTGGGGGTGGCATTGCAACCCCATGAGCCAGTTTGCAATACCACCCACTGAAATTTGGCCTGGCTGCCTCTCCAGGCTGTACAGAGAGATGGCGGGTCAAATTTCAGTGATATTGCAACCATGCGGCCAGAGTAATGCTCCAGCAGCAACTGTATTGATTTAAGCAGGGTTCTTCTTAAAAGTGGTCAGGTCATGGCCTATGGAACTTTGAGCAAGTGCAAAAACTGGCTGGGGGCAGGGATGATGGCATTCCCCCTTGCCCCAATTGGCATCACAGAGAGAAGAGAGCCTCCTTTATTCAAAACTTTTAAATGTAGTTCTATCCTACTGTTAAGTGCCAGCATTAATTGGGGGCTTGTGGTTCAAGGGGGAGTAGGAAGCCAAATACCTTTCCTCTCTCTTGCCCAATATACAAAACCTCTTTCATGACCCAACATAGCTTCACCTCAAGGAAACTGATAATGATTGAAAGTAGGCACGTCACAGGAGATAGCTGTGGTTTTCTGCCAAGTGTTTTTAAGAGAGGTTCATCAGTTATTCAACACTAGTCAGCAGCAAGGGCTTCATTTTGCTTACCCCAGTAGCATCTACTTTGGTGGGATATTTCTTGGATTCCAAAACAAAATCCGCTTGGACGCCTTCTATAAAAGTCCTGTATTATTGCCTTTGTAGGGGCCAGTACTTCAGGGTATTAAAATTCTGGCCAGTTAGTAATGAGTTAATTCCCAAAATTTTGCCCAGCTAGCCATTAGCTGATTCTCTTAGACTCACAATAGACACACTGACTGTTAGACTTGCCATAGGTTAATGCTAATAATGAAGTATGCTTAAGGCAAATGGGCTTATTTTAAACCCCGGGGGCAAGCTGGCATAGTTCTGACTTTAATAGAGCTGCACCAATTTATATCTACAGTGAATTTGACCCTTAAACTTCTCCAGCCTATTCATTGCATGGTGGGATTTAGGGCACATTTTGTTTGGTTTTCTGATGCTTTTTTAGGCTTGTTAGCTAGTAGGCAATAAATCATGTGGAAAAAATTACACACAAATAACTTTTTTTTTTTTTTTTTTGCTGAAATATGCTCTAAAGGGGGAGTTTGTTCAGTCATTGAATTTAGGCAGTAAACAGTCTCCTTACTAAGGAAGCATCTAATGACCAAATAACAAAACTGAGTCAAGAGCTCTGCATTTAATTGCTCCTGCCACAAAACTAGTGGCATTAGGCAAGTCACTTACCTTTAGAGTTGGTGGTCAACATTATTATTAATAATAATAATAATAATAAATTTTTTTTAATTAAACTTTTTTCCTATCAAAACGCGGTCTGGATTCGCGAAACATTTCCGTTTCAACAAGATCAGTCAGGATCTGGGGGGGGGGAGGAGAGACTCTACAATAGCCAATAGTCTGGTTGGCACTCACCTGGAATGTGGGAGGTCCAGGTTTAAGTCCTGGCTCTGCTTAATTCCTGCAACCCAGGTGAAGTGCCTTAATCCCCGGGCTATATAGTCAGTTTCTCTGGCACAGTGAACATTTAATTTCCACACAGTGGAATGGCTCCAACTGGAGAGATGGAGAGAGACTGCTGCTGTAGCCTGGTGGTTAGGGCACTTGCCTGGGTTGTGTCTCAGCTCCAAATCAGGCAGAGCAGGGATGTGAACCTGGGTTTCCCATGTCCCAAGTGAGTGCCCCAACCACCAGGCTGTCTTACAAAAACTCATGATGGCTTTGGTTCCATATCTGAACAAAAACAAATATCAAAACTTAATTTTTTTTCCATGAAATGTAACTTTCCTTCCAGCCCTACTTACCCCTCCCCCCCGTGGCTCTCCTTACCCCATTTGCAAAATGATGACTTCTCCATTGTACCAGTGCTGAGGCTTAATTGTTTCTAAAAGCACTTACAGATCCTTGCCTGAATTGAGCCAGAAGTGCAAAGTGTTACATCTATAACACCTACTTCTTTTTTCTTTAGTCTTAAATGTCTGTCTGCTCCCGTGGATGAAACCTTCCTGGCATGGGTAATTACCAAATTTTACCAATACCTTTTTCCTGTAGATACATGTATCCCTCCATGGATCAGCTGGCAGAAATGCTCCCTGGGATCCTAAAACAATTTGGGTGAGTAGAGTTGTTTACTAATCATTCAGCCTTCATTTTGGTCTTTATGGTCTTCTGACAGTTCCTTCAGCATGTGGTGTACTGAATAGATAAGAGAGTTCACCTAACTTTTGGGAGAATGTGTCCAGCTTCTAAACTCAAATGTTCATATGCGCTGCTTCTCAATTTTTGTCCCAACTCTTTATATAAAAAAATCCTTTTATAGAAAGATTGATTCACTGCTATTCTTCGTTTTAATTTCCACCTTATTCCCTATATTGCACGTGTCCTTTTTTTCTAAAAGTACTTAATTTTATTGGTACTTGTCCTTGTTTTGAGAAGTCTTGTTCAGTTATTGCTAGTTTAAAAAATTTTAAACCATTTCAAATTTGTCCATGGGTAGACTTTTCTCGTTTTAATTTAAATTGTACATGGTGCAGACTACTTACTGCAAGAACTTGGACAGAACTCCTTTTGTCTTGCTCTTTCCCTGCCCCAACGGTGATAAAGTTGTCTTGAAAATGTAATGTGATCAAATGTCTCAATATTTTAGTGTAAGACTCTGAATCACCGAAAATTCTCCTAGCATCTTTCCTCTCGGAGAGCAAGACATTCTAAGGTGGATTCAGATAAAAGTTAAACAATAAGCCTGTTTGGTATATGTTTCCACTTATTAATGTCACTGATTAGAATACACCATTCTCATGTCAGCTTTTTATTAAAATATTGTATGATTTGTTTTTGTGAAGGTGTTTGTCTTGTGCTGATTTTTCTCCCCTTCTACTGGTTTTCAAAGACCCCATTGCAGTAAATGCTTTAATTTGCACTGAACTGAAATTGGTACTATTCATGCCTAACGGGTATATGCCGTTCAAGTTATTCATAAGACTAGTTTCAATTTAGTGTATTCTGGTAACTTTATGTATTGCCTGATAACTGGCATAGCAGCCTTTTTCTTTCACTACTGAAGGGAAAAAAAGATTGGGGTGACATTGTCCAGTAGTCATGATTGCCAGAATCAGAATAATACTATAGTTCACCCAGTATATTTCTCTAAAGAAATACTGTAACTGTCACAATACTGGAAAGCAGATGGACAGTTGTCCCATGAATATAACTATTTAGCTGAAACCAAGAGAGCACTGAGTTACTTTGCTAGCTGCTAGGAGCAGATCTGTTAATGGTGTAAATTTTTGAAGCCCCATTGAAGTCAATGCAGTTGTGACCACTTACACCAACTGCTGACCCGCTCTATAATAAACATTAACTGGCATGTAGTAGTTGTGACCTAAAAGAGAGAAATTGGTTGGATGGAACTTGTTTATTTTAGTGCACTTTTACTGACACTTTGTCTTTTTGTTTTATTGCACATAACTGCTCTATGTAGGCTGAAAAGTGTTATTGGAATGGGAACTGGAGCTGGTGCCTACATCTTAACTAGGTTTGCTGTAAGTTTCATGGAGCTTTCTTAAAACCTTGACGCTCATCTACATGACACCTGTAGCCTATGCAAATATTTCCTACCCTGCCATACCCACTTATTTAAGCAGTCAAGTTTTTAAAGTGGAATAACCTGATCTGCAGGATGGTAAATTCAGAAGATCAAATCTGTTAAGCCCAGGGCTCTACCCAGTTAACTCATGGATGGTTGTTTCTTAATGGAAATTCTCTACTTAAATTTAAGATGGAGAAGAAGTTAAATATTATCAGTTGTCCAGCCAAATTACTTTGAGTAAAGACACAAGCTTATTGCATATCTTTCACATGATAAAATTAGACTTCCCAATGCCCTGCCCCAAAATGATTATCCCTCTAATTTAAACTCTGTATTGTTAATCTGTTTACAACATGTATCTGGCTACTTGCATGTTCACATGATCTCTTAAATTGCAGCTGAACAATCCAGAAATGGTGGAAGGACTAGTTCTCATCAATGTAAACCCTTGTGCTGAAGGATGGATGGACTGGGCAGCAACTAAGGTAAAAAAAAATTTTTTTTAAATAAACAATAAATGTCTATCTTGAGATTGCATGTGAAGGTTTGCGCTTGAACAATGGGCTCTTAAAATATCACATCAGATTTTAGCTAAGCTTTTTTCAGTGTGTATTCCCTATTAAATTGTGGCTGCAATATTGAAGGATAATTGCTTTTGGTTCCATTCTTCAGTTTTAACTAGAGTACTTCCTGTAGGGTTGATAAACTTTAGCTCAGTGGTCTCCAACTTTTTTATGCCCAAGATCGCTTTCTGAATTTAAGAGCAACCCAAGATCTCCCCCACCCCGTTGCTCGCATAGGTGGATAGACTCTCTGGAGCCACAGCTGAAGACAGCGAAGGCGAAGCGAGAAAGCTAGTGATGTACGTGCAGGCTGATATGTGGCCAATGAGGGATAGGCAAGTACTGACCAGAACAGAAGGACCGCAGACCACTCAAGCCAAGTGGGCAGTCTCCCTGAACCTGCAAGCCAAGTTTCTACCAGAGGTTGTTTCTTGGTTTTCATCTCAACCAACCCATACTTAGCTGCTTTCTTTATGTAACTTCAGCAGAGGTGCGGTGCCTTCACTCCCTCAATGTCCGCAGGACCTTGGCCTTTTACAAAAGTGCAGAGGAAGAGGCCAATCAGGAAATCTCCTAGACTGTCACTATGGCTGAAAGGATTAAGAGACAGGCAATCTCCACACAGGATTTCCAAATGGATTTTAGGATGCATTACACTTTGCTATTGGTTACTGGGATTGCCTCCACCCCTTGGGTTGAGAGCCCATTCCACAAGAGTGCAAGCACTGACTATGGCCGCCCTGTGCAATGTGTTGCTTCCAGACATGTAGGGTAGTACATACCTTCATTACGCCTTTGCACAAGATTCTGACAGATGCCTCGTTTGGCATGACTGTCCTCTGGTCACAACTGTTCCATCCTCTTCCTTGCACCCTCCTCCAACTTAGGTACTGCTTATTAATCACCCTCTGTGGAATACAATAGGGACCATCACTCAAAGATGATGAGGTTACTTACCTATAACTGGAGGTTCTTCAAGATGTGCGGTTCCACTTCCCACCTTTCTTCCCCTCTGCTGTGGATCTGTTCATTTGCTGTGGAGAAGGAACTGGAGGCCTAGTCAGTCTGCTCTGCTCTTTATTACCTCAGTTGAAACCAGGAGGTAAAGCAAGGGCGCATGCATGAACCAATGGACACTGTACTTTCAAATTCTCCTGCTCCAGATGCATGGTATTCATGTGTAAACCCTTAGTGGAATACAGATAGGGACCACACATCTCAAAGAACCCTTCAGTTACAGATAAGTAACCCTTTCTTTGCCCATAGCTTTGCCTGCCAACCAGCAATCCATAATGTGAGCTAGGGCATTGAAAATTGGAGGGGGTGGGGGGTGGGGAAGAGTACATGTTTCAAAAATGTTAAGAGAGTCAGACAAATGCATTAAGTAACTAAAATAGCAAGGAGGATCATGACAAAGGATTGTCAATGTGTCACTACTGTTTTAGAAGTGACACCTCTGTGCAGGAAAATGCGCAGGAAAATCTTCATGCATCTTCTGACCACATTAATCTGAAGACTAAAGAATACTAACGACCGTAAGCTTCAAGGCCTAACATTTAAATGAGTGAGGAGTAATAGGTTTAATGTTACCATTTTTAGGCTTGCATATGGTACACAAATGTATGTCTGTACAAAATAATACAAACATGTCCAAAAACATGCATCTTGTCCAGTAACATGTTTATATTAAAGTATATGGGCACACTTGCACCCCATAAAACAGGTGGGTGGCTCTAAATCTCCGCATATAGAACTTCCTACATTTATCCATTGGAAGCTACAAAAACTCTGGTATTTCTAGGCTAAACAACTTGTCTGCCAAGTCCCAAATTGAGCAAATCAATGCACACCTTGTAATGCCATGACACAATGTGCTCTGGTTCCAGAGATGGGGGTGTAGGACAGTCTCTCTGATTGAGAGCTATTTAACTCCTTGGTTTAACAACAGAAGAGGATGGGGTTTTTTGTACTTTACTGGATTAACAAACATTACTTGACCTGGGAGGGACTGGAAAGCTACTTATAAAGATGGGCTAACTGGCCTGCAAAATACGTGATCATCTCACCCAATAGCCTTGGCTCATTTTAAATTCTTCAGTGTCCCAATCCCCATGCTTCTCTCAACACTCATTTGGAATCACTGAGCCTAGCAGGTGGTACCATTGGATTTTGCCCCTTTCTCCTTTCAAAATGTATTTGTATTTGTTCTGGGAACTACTACTGCATGTGTCTTGGGTACCAATTTAGGAACGTTATCCAGATGCAGGTTTTGTCCTAAGGGTAGAATTTTGTTCACAAACTGCCTATATCATGTCAGCTAGTCCAAAGTTCTAAGGAATGATTGCATGAGTATGGGGCATTCTTTCCCCATCTACTGTGTGTTCATTATGTTGACGCTTATGTGCTTACACTAGGTAAACTGTAAGGATAGTCCAAGAGTTCTATCCTGTGGGCACTTTTCAAGTGTGATTTGTGCTACTTGCACTTGTAGTGCCTTCTGATATAACTAGTGTAAATATCTGATCAGTCATGGGAGAGCAGAGATATTTCTAGCTGACCCAATCCTCCTTTTGATTATGCTGTTCAATGTCTCTTGTTTAAATCTTTCTCATTGTTTAGATCTCAGGATGGGCTCATGCCCTTCCAGATATGGTCATTTCACATCTTTTTGGGAAGGTAAGCTACTTTGAGGCTCCCACTTGTTTAGCTCTCATATTGTGGGGAATGCTAATGTCACCTTGATCGATCAGTCGTCTCAGAGAGAGTGCCAATCACAACATGTCGTTCGTGTTCTAGCCATTCCTTTAACTACCTGCTGGCCAGGCTGTCAGTGGCACCAGACACCCGATTGGCCTAGCACACTGCAGCCCAGAACCTGTGGGCTCAAGTGATCTGCCAGCCTCAGCCTCCCAGGTAGCTGGGAATACAGGTGCATGCACGCCACCACGCTCTGTAATGCTAATGTATCATCCCTCAAACATTGGGAAACGTGTACCTTTGTACCATTTTAAAATACCAAAACTAAAACACAAGCTGTAACTTCTCTCTCAACCACAAACTGTTCACAACATTTTAAATTCAAATGTTTCCAGGTGCAACTTGCCCTATCACTGAAGTTTGATATGCAGTATATGAAAGGCTGCATATAGCCATAGTGGAGAGATTTAATTGCTTGTTAAATTGGTTGTTTAAATAAAGTTCTAAGCAGAACTCCTCACTGATTTCAGTGGCAATTTCTGCTCTAAACGTTGATAGTACAATACGGCTTATTGTTTTATCTCCTGATAAGAGCTCTCCTGCTGTATTTTGGCACCATAATAAGTCATAAATCTGGAAAACAAGTTACTGGTATAAACTAAGCTTTTTTTTGTGTGTCCACCTTAGTGTCAAATACTCTATATTTTCTAAGGCTTGTGTAGAGGTAGACTCTAAAGTACTAACTTTCAAAGACAACCATTTTAATGACCTCGAAGCTCTGCTACTTGCTCTTGTCTTGCAAAATTGAGCTCAGTTTTGTAGATGTTCACTAATTTTTGTCACGCTTTGAACATCTGTTTTGGTCTGAACATAATTACTAAATTTTTTTTTAAACTTAACTTGTTTTTAAAAGTCTGGCTCTTAATCCTGAAGTCTCTCAGCAGTTTCAACTGTATTTCCTTGATACTATACATCTCTTCAATGACTTTTCCTTGCATCCTTTGGTTTGTTAGAAAGGATGTGGATTTCAGGTTGATCATCAACACTGCACAAGCAAACTGCAAACCATGCAATGTTATGAGATTAAGTGCCTTGAATTAATAAAACTGTACAACTAAGTCTGGAACTGACTTTCAGACAACTTGCATTACTTCAACCCTGAAAAAAAAATATTGGTACTAATGGTTTGAGAACACTTAATGCCTGAAAAGCTTCTTAAAGGGGCTTGCTTGTTTTAATAAGTCTTTATTTGTAATTAAGCAATGCTACAATGCCATTTATCGTAGTAGTATCTTAATATTAAATGACACTTTTTAATCTAGGAAGAGATTCATAACAACCATGATCTGATCCATACTTATCGCCAACATATTGTCAATGATATGAATCAAACCAATCTTCATCTGTTTGTCAACTCGTACAACAGGTAATATACTTTGTTCTCCAATTGGTCTTTACAGTGAAACATGTTAAGCAATCACTCAAGGGACCAGCAAATATCATTTATGCAGCAGAGATGCTCTCTAATGAAAGGTCAAGCAGAATTGTATTGGAAACCATAACTCTATCAAAGGGTCATCTTGAGACACTGCCTATAGTGTGTCCTTTTTTTTAACTTCAGGGGCTGACTAAACTAAAACTACAAATCCAAAGAAAATTCAGCGCTGTGTGTGTGTGTGTGTGTGTGTGTGTGTGTATACACCTTTCTTTAAGTAACTTGTATATTTTCATGTTTGGAAATGTGTAGAAATTCACATGAATACCTGAATCCCAATGTATCAATAAGCTTTTTGTCTCTCAATCTTCAGTCGAAGAGATCTTGAGATTGAGCGTCCTATTCCTGGAGCAAATGTTGTTACTCTACAGTAAGTATTACTGGTTCATATGAATTGGGGAAAAATGTAAAATCTGTGCTAGATTTAAGTAACTGTTAATGGCATGGACACTGTTACGGGGACAGTCATTAGAGCAGTGATACTCAGACCTCAGTGGTTCAGGAGCCAAATGAGCAATCAGCATTACCCAAAAGAACCACATGAGTGTGAACTCACTGTTTCATTTACTATAATACTATATATTAATATTTAAACAGTATGATGGGAAATATATTTTTATAAAATGACTGACCAAGTATTTTCCCAATTACAATTGGTTAATAACATAATAAAAGCATTCTGATTGATTAACTTTGGTTAATAAGTGTTTTAATATAATGTGCCGCAAGGAGACCCATTAAAGAGCACCTTTCGAGTATCGCTGTGTTAAAGGCCTTAAAGCAGTGGTATGATTTGGTGGGTGTTTTGCATATACACGTTCCAGGTTTGTAATTGAAATAAAAGCTTCCAGTAGACTTTTTTTTAAAAGCTCAGTATTGCAGACGCATGCTGCTGCTTATGGGTACAAAGAAGTCTCAAAATTTGGATTTGGGGTTTAAAAACTTGCTGCACATCCTGGACTTTCTTAGGAAGAGTTTGTTGTGCCCTCCTAAAGTTGCAGTCTCACAAGTTGGGTGTAAAGTGACCCTCAAACTTGAATAGCGAAGAGATCAGAGTATAGTGTTTTGTTTAAAAACTTAATTAGCCTGAAGGGAGGAGCAATTGCAAGCATTTAAATCTCTTTGAGTGTGTTGTCACTCTAATCTCTTCACCCCCCCTCCCGCCCCCCCAAGAGTCTCTAGTTAAATTTTGTCACAGGGGAAGCATGCCAGTGATGGGTAGCTCTTCAAGTGGGGATTAAATAGTGGAGAAGATGGTGATGCCTGGTGGTGCTTGTACTCTTACCCATGATGGATTTGCAAACCTGAGTTTAAGGTGTTTAAACTGCTTTACTTAGAAAGTGGATGTAATTGTTTTCTTATATGGGGTAAGGCTCCAAATTAAGTCAATCACCTTGCAATTTGAACATAAGTATGAATAATATATGACAAATAGAAGTATGAGTGCTTTTACAAAGCTTTTATTTACTGGGGGTGGGGAGGGAATAAGAGGACAAATTTGCACATTAGCTAGTAGAAAAAACAAGTTTCATGAAACTTGAACATGTAAATAAAATTCTGTAACCAAACTCATTCCACTCTTTTTAAAAAATAACAATTTCCCTGATGAATGCTTTTGGGGGGGAGGGGGGAAATAAATAGAGAAAAATGCATGGCTGCTCACTAATATAGAGAGGATTCCAGGAATAATAATAAAACTAGTCAGTTACATTTTTGGGACAGCAGATGCTTCTTCTACTCACTTAACCAGGTCAGGATCCTTCCAATCATACTAAAGGAGAATTTTGGGAAAAGCGAGGGCGGAGTCATAGAAAAGTTGAAATGAGTATAGAAGTAACCACTGTCTTGTGGTGTCTTTTTTTTTTTTTTTTTTTTTCTTTTCTTCTTCTTCTTCTTCTTCTTCGCAGATGCCCTTCACTGTTGGTGGTTGGTGACAGTTCTCCTGCTGTTGATGCTGTGGTATGTATAGTCAGACTTTCATAATAAAGAGCATTCTTTTCCTTTGTATTAATCAGTATGCAAACTGGGAAGTTATGCTGGCATTGCAGAAATCATACCCCATATAGGAAGGTCTCCTGCTATTGATCCAGCCCAGTTAACGCTTCCCTTTCACACCTTTCAAGACAGAGCTGTCACTGTTCTTAGATGTTTATGCCTCTGTCTGGATACCGTTATGTAATGGCTACTGTTCTAGGACAGTTGCCACAGCAGTACTTTAGGCATATAAGGAGCTGGTTGAGAAAAATGTAACTTACAAATGTTTTTCCTTTAGAGGAGAATCTGTAGCCAGTATTGTAGCGTGTTCTCTGCTGTTAAATGGAGTTTTGCTCTCGGTTACTCTGGAAGCAGTGTGTTGCTTTGGCCGATATAGCTAGCCTCAATGGCTGAATGACTTAAAACATTGTGCCTTAATGGGTATGTCCATTCTTTGGCCATATAGCTGCTTACCATCTGGGATTCTACCACATGATCCCCAGTCACACGACAGGGTTTGTTGCCACTACAGTGTGTGAAGCACAAAACTCTCCTAATTCCTTGCTAATGGACTTGCTTGTACATGTGGGAATAGACTATTAGAGCAAAATTTGAATAATATTTCAGAAAAGCTTCAGGGGGGGAAATCTAAAATATGCAATTTTTAGGATATACCAACCCTTTCGGAGAACCAAGTATTAATACAATTAAGTTAAGGAAAAAGTAGCTGGATGAGAGAACCGCGAAGAACTAATTAGTTCAGAATAATGGTCTTGAAGATGAGAATAAGATGCTAATAACAGTGCTATTTTTCCATATAGGTAGAGTGCAACTCTAAACTGGACCCAACAAAGACCACACTCCTAAAGGTAATAGGAATAAGAACTGTAAATTACATATTTGTGTTACAATGATGCAACCTCATTGGTCTTAAACAAGTGAGAGAGCACAAGTTAGCCCAGTGTGGTGCATGACTGTACATACTGAGCATTTGTTTAAGATTAGTTTTAAGTAAACTGGGGAAAGTGTTTTCTTGAGCACAGAGCAGTCAGCACTAGTGAATGAAATCATTACTGGAATGGAGGATAAAAAATAGGTCAGTAGTTGCAGAAACAATATTTGGGGAGAAAAATCTGCTTGCATGCTTCAGACTTAGCAGGGAGGGGAAATAGCTGTGGGCTCACTTTCATCTTCTGTGTTTTTAATTTAAAAAAAAAAGACTATTTTCGTTATACACAACATATGTACACAGTACTTTAAACTTGCGGACAAAAGTGGCTTTAGCCTGTAGACTCCCTATTCATGAACATACAGAACCTCAGTGGTTGAAACCCTGAGCTAAACATTCAGAGGTGGATGATACTGGCTGTATATTTAGAAACTTATCCTATAATGGATTTTAAAAACTGGCTCTTAACAGGATTAGGAGGTCATTTAATGAAGTAAAACTGTATTGTCAGTGCAAAATGCTGCTGTAGAGTGAACTAGTCAGCCTTCTGCTACTAGGATATTTTTGCCTCCAAAGGAATAGTCACAAATGTCTTTCCTTCTGGATTTTAGTAGCCGGACATTTTTGTAGAATCTATTAATCGCAAGTGAACAACTTTAGCCTAGGTCTTGACACAAGACAATTAAGATATATCGGAAGTAAAATGAAAACCATTTTAATATTTTACATATATAAAGAAACAGACTTAAATCAATTTTACTGAGTTTGGTAGACACAGGCTACAGCCCAGATCAGCAGCATAGCCATGGTGGCAGTGGAGGCATTACTGCGCTATACCAAGTACAAACCCACCTGCAACCAGCATTTATACTTGTGCTAGCTTCATGTAAGTTCCCTGTTTGTGTAGCCCATACTCTCACTACCTCTTCCTGCAATAACAAAACAAGCTGTAATTACTCTGTAGAATAAATACATAATGTTCTGATTTACATGCACTGTCATACCTGGCTGCCTTTTCTGTTACTCTGGGCTACTTTCCAGCATAGCTCAGAATCAGAAATGTATTTTAATATTTCCCTTTATTTGATAGTCATGGAGTGGGTGCATCTGTAGTTTGTAGTACTTAACCATTGTTAAATAAAAGTTAATAGGAAAAAAGTGTCCGCTCAGGATTTGGAGTTCTTGCCATATTCCCTACTAGGATATAATTAAAGAAGGCAGTTAGTCAGTGCTAATGTCTAAGCCAGGGGTGGGCAACCTTTCAGAAGTGGTGTGCCGAGTCTTCATTTATTCACTCTAATTTCAGGTTTCGCGTGCCAGTAATACATTTTAACGGTTTTAGAAGGTCTCTTTCTATAAGTCTGTAATATATAACTAAACTATTGTTCTATGTAAAGTAAATAAGCTTTTTAAAATGTTTAAGAAGCTTCATTTAAAATTAA